TACCTTACACACGTTACACACTGACCCGAACCTGCCAATCCGTGCAGGTCCAGATACCAGGCACCTAGACCCACACGGATGGGCAGGTTCGGGTCAGTGCAGGTCCCATAGTGAGGTACAGGTGGCTGCAGGCAATTACAGCTCCCGTCCCTCCCGAGAGTAGGTCTCTGCACGGGCGTGCATGCCGTACAGATGTGCATACCCCTGTGAATGAGCCTTAAAAGTGTATTCTAGGCACACACAAAAAAAGATGTGTATGATACAGTCTGTTGTGAACATTAGCACAGCAGTTTTTGTTATTCTGAGGCCCCGTGTAACATAATTTTATTACCGGTTGATCCGTTATTTATCTACTTCCTTTTCCAGGCCAAGCTGTCCACAAAAGCCGTGGCCGCTGTAGCCGGGGATGAAGCCAATCAAGCACAATCTGATCAGGTTCACTGGAGTAGAAAGAGAACCTGTCACCTCCAATGTGCTATCACTCAGGGAGCAACTCCCTATGGCAAGGGTAGGCAACCTCCATACTCCAGCTGTGGTGAAACTGCACATTCTTTCATGCTCCTGCCTATGGGAGTCATGCTTGTGGCTTTCAGAACCTTGCAATGCCTAATGGGACCTGTAGTTCCACAACAGCTGGAGTGCCGGGGTGGCCTCCCCCTATCCTATGTCATAACATAACAGCCTCCTCTAGTGATAACTTAATCCTCCCGTCCCATCGCACTCCTGACCGGACAAAAACCCAAATCCAACTCCATGGGTGCGGTGGTGACAACGGATGCCTCCGTGAAATGTAGATAGATGAAAGTAGTCACTCACACTCCATGATATTAAAGTCAATGCTGTTTATTGACTGAGATAACACACATCTCCTTAGCGACGTTTCGAGACCATGCGGTCCCGTCCTCAGGCAAACAGTGCTGAGGAAGAGTCCATACTGGGCACATTATGGGCTCTTCCACGGTCCTGTCCCGTCGCTAAGGAGATGTGCGTTATCTCAGTCTCAGTAAACAGCACTGACTTTAATATCATGGAGTGTGAGTGACTACTTTCATCTATCCTCTAGTGATAAGACGGTACATTTTAACTCTGTAGTCACAAGGCGAGATGCGGCAGCAGGGGTTGTGTGACGTTTGTGAACACAGCCAAGAACTACACAGGCTCCAGGATTTACATGATTTTGTTATCTCTGAGCCAGCATCTCAGCCCAGCATGTAGATGGTGACCCATGGATGATGCAAAGATGGTGCCGTCTTTCTGGAGAGAAACGCAGATGAAGGCATTGTCAGGGGGAGTTCTGTGATGGGTAATAAATACCTGGAAGTGTTACAATGACACATTACTGACTCATGCTGCACTTATCAGGAGAACAAATATCTGATGACAGGGCCACTTTAACTGCACTTTAAATGAATTAAAGTGTTTAAGTGATTCATGCCGTGCCCGTGGCGAGGAGATTGGTGCCAGGGGTGATAATACTGCTATACATCATCTGGTGTGACAGAGGTTTGGGATTGTGTTCGCGGCTCAATGGGGGAATATTTACATGAAAAAAGACATATCTGGGCGGCTGTAAACACGCTCCTCTGTCAGGCTGCAGCTTCTCTATGGGCTCTGGCTCCAGCTCATTGCTCTCTGATGTAAGCTGTGATACATAAACCGAGACACTCACACAATAAATGCATGCCGTACAGTGCGCCGCCACCTACGCCGGGCTCCATACTGGGCACATTATGGGCTCTTCCACAGATGATTCTTGATGTGGAACGTTTGACCTTCTACAATGCTGTAAAACAAAAACAAATTTGAAGACAGAATTTCTCTAAGCACTATTTATATCTAAACCGGCCGAGGAACGCGACCCTGCTGTGGTCACAGAGAAACAATAACCCTTTGAAAACCTGCCAGTACTTCCAATGGAACTTCCAGAATCTCGCCAGAGCTTGCAATGGCACTCACGGAACCCCTGCCAGTACTTCCAAAAGTTCTATCAGAAGCCCTGCCAGGACTTCCAATGGTACTCCCAGAACACCTGCCATTACTTCCTATGGAGCTTCCAGAATCCCTGCCAGAACTTCAAATGGTACTCCCAGAACACCTGCCAGTACTTCCTATGGAACTTCCAGAATCCCTGCCAGTATTTCCAATGGTACTCCCAGAACCCCTGCCAGTACTTCCAGAATCCCTGCCATAGCTTCCAATGGTACTCACAAAACTCCTGTCACTAGTTCCAATGGCACTCATACAATCCCTTCCAGTACTTACAGAACACTTGCCAGTACTTCCCTGCTAGTACTTCCAATGACACTGGCAAATCCCTGCCAGTACTTTCAATAGTACTTTCTGAATCCTTGCCAGAACTTCCAACAGTATTTCCAGAATTCCTGCCAGTACTTCCAGAATCCCTGCCAGTACTTCCAATTTTCCTTCCAGAATCCCTGCCAGTACTTCCAATTGTCCTTCCATAATCCCTGCCAGGACTTTCAATGGTACTCCCAGAAGCCCTGGCAGTAATTGCAATGGTACTTGCATAATCCCTACCAGGACTTTCAATGGCACTCCCAGAATCCCTGCCGATACCTCCAATGGTACTTCCATAATCCCTGCCAGGACTTTCATTGGTACTCCCAGAACCAGTACTTCTAATGGTATTCATAGAACTCCTGTGAACACTTCCAATCAAATTTTCCAGGAGCCCTGTCAGCACTTCCAGAATCCCTGCCAGTACTTTCAGAATACCCTGAAACAATGCCGAAGGCCTCGTAAATGACAGCTGGGCAGAGCCCTCAATAAGAATAGTGGCGAACGGCAGCGAAACAGAGTTCGGCTCACTTCACTTTGGCTGGGTTATTCACTCGGCTGCCTTCACCAGCTTTGTGAATAACTCCCGAAGTCTCATGAGGCACTGCAGGACTCTGAGAGCCAGAGATGACTCCCAGAGGCAAAGACATGATGAGATTTGAAGTTTCATAGTTTCACCCCAGCTGGAGTGCCAAGGTATATGTATTGTGCTGCATGTGTGGGGATTGGTGTATGTGTGTGAACAAAGAACAATCTCACACTGGCAACCCGCTGTGCCTACAATGGAGCGGAGTGCTATGCACCGTGCTGGGTACTGCCTTATGCACCTTATGCCTTCTCGTTGAATATATAAGAGAGCCTGAGCACAAATCTCCTCGGTAATAATAGGTTTTATCACTTCACTGCACATCATATATCCGCAACAAATCTCATTTTATTTCCTGAGCTTTGGAGGGTTTTTTTAATGTCTTTGGGAATGTGAGATATTATATTTATCCAGCAGGAACACAACTCCTAACCGTCCACACGCTGAGAGTCCCAACCTCTCTCTCAATTTTCCTTCTACTTCTGGATTCCCCTTAAAGCTGACCTCCGGCCTTCCCTTCAGTCTTGCACAGTTGTACCGGTTCCTCTCCTGGACTCAAATGTATTCCTCTGATATCACTGCACACTGGGAGCTTCTCACAATGTGCATTAGAAGCTGCAGCCAGTCAGAGAGAGCACTCCTCATTTCTTGGCTGGAGGACCTCCAGTGTCATCTAATGCTTTCTTCCCCAGCCTGACTGTCCCTGGCCCGCCCCTTTTATTCATTGGGTGTTAGTTCTTTCAATCATGGAGGCTCAGCATCAGCATGTGGGTGTTATCTAAGCTGGTCTGCATGCAAATGGAGCCTGCCTAGGAATGCCCACTTCTCCAGACTGATATCTACTTATTACGGCATTTTAATTTGTGTGACTCCACTCAAAAGCCAGTCACTGCTTGAAACAGGGCTGAGGTCTTTTCAGAGGACTACCGTCATTATCAGGAAGCTATTTACAGCACCCTGCTGGCCCCTCCCACCAGCCATGACCTGCCTGCATTTTATAGAGAAGCACAAAGACCCAGTAATGATGTCACTGTGCCTAACAAAAGGTGTGTAATGAAAGCAAAAAAGCAAATGCTTGTTAATTATAATCCAGAGCAGGCTTTCTCCACCAGGGTCTGATGGAACCCTCGGGTTCCTCCAGAGTTTCTCTGGGGTTCCTTCAGCAGTGGTATATTGATCTCCAACCGTTGTAAGCAGACAATTTCCCACTGACATCCAATGCAAGGGGTCACTTCTACACTAATCACCAATGTAAGGGGGCGTGTTCTCTATTGGCCACCAATGTAAGGGGTCACTTCTACACTAATCACCAATGTAAGGGGGCATGTTCTCTATTGGCCACCAATGTAAGGGGTCACTTCTACACTAATCATCCATGTAAGGGGGCGTGTTCTCGATTGACCACCAATGCAAGGGGTCACATCTACACTAATCATCCATGTAAGGGGACATTTTTCCATTGACCAGCAATGTAAGGGAACATTTTCCCAGGCAGCTAGTGTAAAGGGACACAACAATTTTCATCGTTTTAGCTTATCTTCTGGCCATTATTATTTGATTCATTTGATTAGCATTTCTGTATGGAGCAAGGGGGTATTGTGAAATAATTGAAATATGGGTGCCAAACATCCTACTTATGCCATTTTCATTATTCTTTTATTTAAAATGTTCTACAACCTACTAATAATGCTAATGTATGTTGTTCCTTGAGAACTTAAAATGATTTTAAAGGTTCCTCTGGGGTAAAAGGTTAGGAAACATTGAGAGGGGCTGATCCAGAGCCATTTGCATTTTCAGCAGTGAAAGACCCCATATTTGTTTCAGCAGAGGCTTCTTATAAATGTCAGATTCTTGGATGTTATGTGTCCACCCGAAACAAAAGTTCACCATGTTCAATCATATGCAGAATGTATTACGGTAGTGAGTGCACGCACAATCCCGCTGGCCAGCAGCGCCCTGTTCAACTGCAAAATTCTTACCAGGAAATTCTAATGAGAAAAATCCATTTACAAGCCGTTGGCTGTTTCTGTGCTCCTGTTCTTTGTGTGACCGTGCTACTTTGTCTCAATTGCCAGTATCCTGGCCATTCCTGATACACTTATCTGCTTCTCCACAGGCAGATTCTGCAACCGAACATTTGACGATTACGCCTGCTGGCCAGACGGAGTTCCTGGAACATACGTGAATGTTTCCTGTCCCTGGTACCTCCCCTGGGCACACAAGGGTAAGAGTCTGCCATGGAAGATGTATAGAGTTCTGATTCTATAGGTATAATAAAGTGTGAACGCTCCAAATTCCTATGAATCATCATCCGGGGATGTCATCGTAAGTCACATATACTGCTGAGACAAAATGGCTTTGGGATGGTTTCGAGATCAAACACCACTCTCAAAGATTGTAGTGTAAACACACTATTGAGGAACTAGCCTTTATCTACCTGAAGACTTGTAAAGTAATGCTCTTCATCATAATATCCATCCATCCCTGCTAGGTAACAGCACATTTTATGGTCTGCTATTTTGTAACTAGCTCCTGTTCTTCACATGGCTTCCAATACCATCTCTATGCTGACGACACCCAAATCTATTTTTATTCTTCCTCAGCTCTCCCCTTCTGTTCTCTATCTACACCTCCTTCCCTGGCCAGCTTATACCCTCACATGAGTTCCAATGCCATCTCTATGCTGAGGACACCAAAATCTATCTCTCCGCATCTCAGCTCACCACTTCTATTCTCTATCTACACTTCCCTTGGCCAGCTGATACCCTCACATGGTTTCCAATACCATGTTTATGCTGATGACGCCAAAGTCTATCTCTCTAGTCCTCGGCTCACCCCTTCTATTCTCTATCTACACCTCTGCCCTAGGCCAGCTGATACCCTCACATGGTTTCCAATACCATGTCTATGCTGATGATGCCAAAGTCTATCTCTCCACTCCTCAGTTCACGCCCTTCTATTCTCTATCTTCACCTCCTCCCTTGGTCAGTTGGTAACCTTGCATGGTTTCCAATACCATGTCTATGCTATGGACACCAAAATGTTCTATTTTCTATCTACACCTTCTCCCTTGGCAAGCTTATACCCTCACATGGGTTCCAATACCATCTCTATGCTGACGACACCCAAATCTATTTCATTCTTCCTCAGCTCTCCCCTTCTATTCTCTATCTACACCTCTTCCCATGATCAGTTGGTAACATTGCATGGTTTTGAATAGCATCTTTAGGCTAAGGGCACCAAAATCTTCTATTTTCTTTCTACACCTTCTCCCTTGGTCAGCTTATACCCTCACATGGGTTCCAATACCATCTCTATGCCGATGACATCCAAATCTCTATCTCTCCACTGCTCGGCTCACCCCTTCTATTCTCTATCTACACCTCCTCCATTGGTCCATTGGTAACCTTGCAAGGTTTCCAATACCATCGCTATGCTGAAGACACCGAATTCTTTTATTCTCTATCTACACCTCCTCCCTTAGCCAGCTAATACCCTCACATGGTTTCCAATACTATCTCTATGCCGATGATATCCACATCTCTCTCTACCTCTCCACTGCTCTGCTCACCCATTCTATTCTCTATCTACACCTCCTCCCTTAGCCAGCTAATACCCTCACATGGTTTCCAATACCATCTCTATGCTGATGACACCCAAATCTCTCACTATCTCTCCACTCCTCAGCTCACCCCTTCAGTCTCCTCGCGCATCACTAATTTAATAATTTAGTATGGATGTCACATCACTTGCCCAAACTCAATCTTTCCAAAACTGAACTTATAATATTTCCTCCCCTCCCAAGCCCCCTCCACTTACGTTTCCATTGAGATCAATAATATAATTATCCCTGCTTCTCCTTCATGACAGGGTGTTAGGTGCACTCATAGACCCTGGCTTCTCCTTCCTGCCTCAAATCCTATCACTGTCCAAATCCTGTTACCTTTGCCTCCAAGTTTCCAAAAATACACCCCTTCTTAACCAATTACATCACCAAGCTACTAAATCACTCCCGCGTTATCCTTAATTATACATGTACAGGGTGGCACCAAAATTTTCCTATTAAACTGGCATGATGCATTTTTTGCAAAGGTCGCAGCACCTTGGGCACATCTCAGTTCTCCTCTATAGGTGAATGTCTATGAAGAGTCCAGGTATCAGCGTTTTATTGAAAGATGTTACTGAAGGAAATAGAATAGACTCTCAGTGGTTTACCTTTAAAAACAGATTTTCTGCCAGCAGCATTCAGTGTGGATGTCGACTACAGCACCTGACATTCCGACAATTGCACCCTGGAGTAAAAACAACCCATAAATTAAATGCGACTCGGCAAGCAAACTTAAAAAAATAGACATAGCCAATGTGTTCACAATTGTTAAACAAATAATAATATATTAAAAAAAACTGTATGCCTTCCAATTTTGAGTTCTATACACTGACTGTAAGTGTCACCGGTCCCTTTACTGCTGAATAATGCAGCATATGTCATACGGCAGCAGATGATAAAAAAGACGTGAGAGTGTTTAAGCGCGCCAGACGGAAAGATAAATATGTCGGCATCTGCGGCTGATGTCGGGAATGATGCCCGGTGTGCCAAGTACGGCTTTATTTGCAGGAAGATATAGATCTGTTGTTAGGGCTTAAAGCAGCTGGAAAATGCCGCCGAGACTGGCTGCAGCCTGTGCGTTATATCATTTAAATTCAGCTCTGCGGCAGGTGAGGATATCGCTGCACGCCTTTCCAGTGTAACAAAGGAAGAAGAATCATTTAAGCATTTATGGGTAAAAATGTTCTTAACCCTTGCAGTGGGGCTACCTCCTTAGCAGAGAGGCCACTGCTTCCATACAGAGAGAAAACGTACAGTTTAGCAGCTGATGGCAGGGGACTGGCTTTTCTACTCGGGCTGTGGCTTTTTTAGAAAGAAAATTAACTGTAAGACACATATGTATTTAAAAGCCCGTGCTGTCGCCGATGTAAGCAGCAAAAGGGTGAATAATACTTTCTTTATAGAGGACTTTACGTCGACCAAAAATTGAGGGACAACAGAAGAGGAAAGAGCGACAGAGGGATTTGGTTGCAAAAGGGGGATAGTTCCTCCAAATAAGAGACAGAGCTGTCACTTCCGGGTTCAGAGCTGTCAAAAACCAGGCAGCTTTCTTTCAAAAAATCATAGAGCAACATCCATTGTGAGTGATTTTATCAGCATGTGAAATAGCTTCAAAACGTTTTGACTTTAATATCACTAAATTGTCCTAAAACCTCTTTTATTGGGCACAGCTTGTGTGCAGACCCGGGAAGCCAGCACAGTAATAAAGGAAACCCCTCATAATGGGCACAGCAGGTGTACAGACCCCAGAACGTAGCACGGGGATGGTTGGAGCCCCTTGCAATGGGCACAGCAGGTGTACAGACCCGGGAATTCAGCTCAGGGATGGTGGTAACACCTCATAATAGGCACAGCATGTGTACAGACCCAGGAATTTAGCACGTGGATGGTGGGGCCACTAATAATGGGCACAGCAGGTGTACAGACCCAGGAACTTAGCACATGGATGGTGGGTAGGGTTGCCACCTGTCCAGGATTCACCCGGACAGTTCGGGTTTTGAATGCTGTGTCCAGGTTTCATGGCAGCAGAAACCTGGACACAATTTGTCAGGCAGACAGAGGCAACCAAAATGAAGACAGGGGCTACTGGCCCCCCACTGAAAATAGTCTCAACTGTGATATTTACATATGAATGGGCGGCAATTTTTATATTTGAATAAGCTGCGACTCATTCTGCCAAAAAAATGTCCACGCGTCGATTGAGTGTTCAGGTTTTGCTTGAAGAAAAGGTGGCAACCCTAATGGTGGGGCCCCTAATAATGGGCACAGCTGGTGTACAGACCCAGGAACTTAGCACGTGGATGGTGGGGCCACTAATAATGGGCACAGCAGGTGTACAGACCCAGGAACTTAGCACGTGGATGGTGGGACCCCTAATAATGGGCACAGCAGGTGTACAGACCCAGGAACTTAGCACGTGGATGGTGGGGACCCCCACAATGGGCACAGCAGGTGTACTGACCCAGGAACTTAGCACAGGGATGGTGGAAGCCCCTCATAATGGGCACAGCAGGTGTACAGAACCGGGGATTCTGCTCAGGGATGGAGGGAACCCCTCATAATGGGCACAACAGGTGTACTGACCCAGGAACTTAGCACAGGGATGGTGGAAGCCCCTCATAATGGGCACAGCAGTTGTGCAGACCTGGGAATTCAGCTCAGGGATAGTGGGAACACATCATAATGGCCACAGGAGGTGTACAGACCTGGGGATTCTGCTCAGGGATGGAGGGAACCCCTCATAAGGGGCACAGCAGGTGTACAGATCCAGGAACTCAGCTCAGGGATAGTGGTAACTCATCATAGTTGACACAGCAATTACCTAGGAACTCATCACCAGTAGAGTAGAAAAAACTAACAGGTGGTTTAACTCTCCATCATCCAGCAAACACAGAAAGATCAGCTTTGGATGGACTGATCCTTTTGAAAAGAGTAAAAACAAAAAGTTAAACAGTCTGACAGCATAAACTAGATTGGCAGATGATTTCAGAGATGGAGGTGTGATTGAAGAATCTCCCATGATGCTTATGGGTGCAGGCTCTTGTCCCCATCCCTGTACTTGGTGAGACACTGAGCTGTGACAGTGACAAACCCTGAGGCCATCTATCTGTCATCTCTGCCCTGCAGACATTGCCACACTGGCACGCTGAGAGAAGGATCATTTATTTCATCTCCCCTGTAAACCTGTAATTTGAAGCTAAATATCAAGCAGTGATTAACAGGCACGTTGGACCAGCGCTGCCATCAATGAGTGAGACGGATGAGACCGTTGAGACAGAAAAGGTCTCTCCCGCTCTGATTTTTATCATCTGCAAATGCTTAAATCTCTCCAGGGTACTTACACTCTGCAGGGAGGGCACACAAGGGGCGAACAATGGCATTTGTTGGCACATTCACTACTCCAGCCAAGGTCAATTGTAAAGTGTCATTTATGAGTTTATTTTTCAAAAAATATTCTTTATTTTTATAAAGATGTTGCTGTCGGCTCCAGCGCTGCTGACCATAAATCATTGTCACTTTGGATGTTCTGTCTACGCTGAATCTCAGTGTTATAACAAAACAATGTGCCTTCAGCATTCCTTTAGATGGCGGCACGCTGTGTGCATATATCAGAGCCT